GGAAAGAGCATGTGTGTGCTGTGTCATCTGCATTCTGTTCGGTAGCTTCAGTTGCACTCTTGCTTGCTCCATGTGTTCCCAGTTTTCAGTCACAGACACTAATTGCACAAAGCCACAATAGGCTCAAATTTGTGTTCTAGGAAGTCAGTGGAATCTGTTGACTCATTTAGGTTTGCTTTTTGCTTCCCTGCCAACAAGAGTTTTCCAGCTCTGTCATCTTACTAATAATTCTGGCCCTGGGAAAAGCCTGTTGCTCTGCATGCAGCTATATAAGGGCATGCAGATTGCCTGGCCCTCCCTGGCAGCTCACAACCCCTCTGCGGCTGGCATGGTGCTCTGAGCACTCCTGGGACGTGTCAGAAGCTTTTGCTAATGACTGGCACGTTCAAAGTCATTTTGGCAAGTCAAGCCTGGCATTTGCTGTATTTTTACAGCCTCTTTGGTGAGGCAGAAGCAGTTAACTCCGTAGCTGGCTAGCGGAGGAACAGTGTGAGTCAGAGCAGCCAGGTGTGCTTTATCCTTCCTAACTCTGTAGCAAAACTGCTTGTGGTGAACTTCTGTTGGTGCCTCTGCTTAGCCAGAGTTGCCCTTTTTGTTTTCAGTGGTTGTGTGAAGAGATGCCTGAAATGCAAGGAGCAGAGGGGCATGTGTGAAGGAATGGATTTGGGGCCTCTTTGTGACTTGCATTGCTGATTGAGTTGACAGTAGGCTGCATGCAGCCCAAGTACAGTTTTGCTTGCCAAAGTGAGCATGTCCATTAATGGACGGTTTGCTAATAGTGACTCATGTTTAAATCCAAGGACATGTCCTTTGCAGCTGTTGCAGCTAAAAGGCTGATGAAAAGGTGCCTTCCTGGTAGCCTGAAAGCTCTTGTAGTTAGTGTCTAAACATTCTTAAAACGCCTGTCTAAAATTCTAGGGAGGGTTAAAAGCGGATTTCTTTAGATTTTTCCTCACTTTCAACTAGAAAACTTTGTTGCACAAGGAACTTCTCTATCTTCATGGGCTTAGTTGCTACTTTGGTATCTCAGTCAGGTTCATCCCAGTGTTTGGGAATATAAATGTACCTCTCTTATTTAGGAATTTTTTTACGCATTTCCTGGCACACAGAATTAGGCTCTCATTTTCCAGCTCTGAATTATCCCTTGAAGCTATGGCCCAGCTCTGCACGCAAAGCACTGACAGCAAAATCTAGGTTCTTGTAATGTTTATATGACACTGTGCTCAAGCCAAGCTTCTTTAAAAATGTATTTTGTAAATACCTCTCCAGATTGCTGCTATGGCTTGCACGCAGTTTCCTTCCTCTGCTTCCTACCAGTACCTCCCCATCCAAACTACCATCAGAGAAATTACTTCCATATCTTGAGTCTTGGTTTCTGCCTGGATGAAACAGCAAATGTGTGGCTCATTCCCTGGCCTTGTCTTGGTTGCTCTCTCTTCTGTAGTAATCAAAACAGCATGGAAATGTAAACTGATGTTTGTTTATTCACGTGCCTGCAATTAATTTGTCTGGCCCTTGTTCCCAGGCTTGTTTGAGTGTCATGGTTTTGTCTTCTCTTTCTGCACTGTTGAAGTGTCGCTCTCTGCATTAGAGACCATATTGTAAAATAAATATTCATCAACATAAGCAGGAGTCTGTGAGATCCTATGGGGATGCTGAAGCCTGCTGGCTTTCACCAAACAGAGAGTGTGATTCCCCAGCAGGCTGTAGGGCATCAAGCCCTGCCACCAGTGGGCAGGCAGGTCTGGCAGCCCTGCTAGCATGGCTGTGCTCTATGGCAAGGGTACAGCCTCACCAAGGGAAGCGTGGAGGTAGTTTTGTGGCTGAGGGGTCCTGTCCCCTAAATTTGGAAAAAAAAACCTCAGAAAGTCACTACAGTCCTATCTGTAGCAGCCTGTTATGAACTGAAGGTGCCATTGCTGAGGCTGGCTTTGAGCTATCTGCTCTGATGCTTCCCTGTTTCATATAAATAAGGTATGAAAACATATAGGTAAAACAGAAACATAATGAGTCTAACCAGTCTGCCCTACTGTCTGTGCCTAGTGCCCACATTTCCCAGCCTTTCAGAAAATAAGTCAGCAGTGGGACATAAGGTGAACTTCTAGGTGCTATTTTTCCTTCTCCTGTCACACTTCAGTAAAAATGCAGGTGTTAATACCAGGAGCAGAGCCAGGAAACACTTGCTGAGAGCCGGGACTGTGGTGGTCCTACCAATGACCTGAAGACAATGGGCTCCACAGATGATGTGGTTGGATGGGCATGCACCTTGAAAACTCCACTGGGCAAAGCCAGGGACAGCAAATCTGCTCCTCTTTATGGCTTTGCTGGGGCCATAAATGGGCTGTTGAGAGTGGCTGAAGGGCTCTGCTGCAGCTGTTGTGAAGACAAAGAGAAGTTTTACCCTCCCAGCCTTAGAGGGACAACCACGCAGGCTATTTAACCTTTCTGTTTGGATAACTTTTAAACTGGATTGAAAGTGAAGCCTGGAGTGACTTTGCTGCTTCCATTTATATCCAGTGACAGATCAGAATGGCAGCAGGCTGGGAAACAAACTTCTGGTTTTTGCCTTGCTAATAAATAAGGGAGAAAAATCTGGTCCAAATCCCGCATTGGCTGCAGTAGTTGGCCATAGCTGCCTCTCTTACGCTGGAGACCAAGGTGCTGTGTCACCTCAAATGTGTAGTATGAGAAGCAGTGGGATGAAAGCAAGTACCTCGTGTCCTGGGGGGAGGTTTCTGTTCTGTATTTGTATATTGACCTGCTCTAACCGTAAACTTCCAGTCTGAATAAAGCCTTTTGGCACTTCTGAAATCTGATAATATTAAACTGCTGCAAAAGAAAATGCTACCTCAAAAGTACTCAGGTGACTGCTAGTAAGACCTGGCACATGGATGCCTCATGCTAGAAATCAGCTGGAGTGTTTAATGCTGTCTGAACTGCTCTTGCATCTCCAGCCAATGTCCACTTGCTTACAGCCTGGCTGGCAGGGTAATTGATTTCCATATACTTTGCTGTGTCACCTCTTGTTCCAGAAGAGGTGAAAATTGGCCACCCATGATCTCCAAACGCTTTCAAGGAATAAGGCTTTGCATTGGTCAGTGGACTGCTCCCCGCTGCAAACACAGTCTTTGGGTGCAAAATACAGCTGTCCTAGAGATGGCTGTGTCTTTGTCAGGCTTGATAGCCATAGTCTGAGAAAAATCACTGGTAAAACCTCAGAGCATGGGTTGCCAGAAGCAAGGAGTGAATTGCTATTTTATACTCATCTGGGGTATGTTGTGCATCCAGTAATGGCAGCTGTTGAGACAAGATGATGATCAGGTTGGCACAGATCTGATCCCATGCAGCTGTTACATTCATATTTGTTAGTCTGTCTGTGCCCTGGCTTGCCAGATGTCAGGATTTGGGTGACATGGGTTGTTGGGTATCAACACTGCAGCTGAGCCTACAGGATGTAATAGCCTGGAGTCAAAGGTTTACTGTAATTGAATGCTTGTAAAGGATGGTATCTGGTGTGACCTGTGTCTTTGTACTTTCCTGTGAAAGGAGGAGCAGCACAGCAGCCTTCATTCAGATTTCTTCTGTGTAAAGTCCAGAGTGCAATAAATGCAATAGCAGGTCAATAAAACTTTTCCTCTTCCCTGAAAATGCTGCCTCCTGTCTCCTCCCACTGAGCTACCCTCTAAATGTAAGTCTTAAAATACTATTTATGCAGCAAATGTCTTGGATACATGTGTGCATCACTGTTAAGTTTGGGCTGTTTAAAAAACGTCCTGACATTGGAGGGCTTTCAGAGGAATGGTGTAGACCAGATTGAATTTATCATGAGTAGCTCTACACGCTATTTCTCCGTCCTTGTCAGTTTTATAAGCCTTTTCTGCTTAAAGTCTTTTTCCAGTTATCCAGTTAATTCTCAGTGCAAGCATTCCTGTTTTGCTAACTAAATACTTAAATTGTAGCTGGCCCTGGCCCCACCAGTATCTGGGAAGTACATCTTTCTGCAGTTGCAGATTCTACAAAGGACTCCTGTCAAAACAGGACATGGTTTTCAAAACTCATCTGAAGAGTTTATCAGCCATCTGACTGCCGCATTATGCGATGTTTAGCATTGAACAACGTTTTCATTCAACAGTACTGCAGCCGCTCATTTGCTACTATTAAAAAGTTTGGGGAAAGTGACATTGTTTAGTCCATCTGAGATGCTAAGTACTGTCTGTACTTCTGAAAAATGTAGATTGCATGTTTCCCACAAAGTATCTCAAGCAAATCTAAGCACTCTGCTTCTTCCTTGCCACTTGTTTGTCTGTTGTTCCTTGGGGCATAGCAAAATTCCAGAATGATGATGGTAAAAGTGGTTAGTTTTGGTCACAGATCTTGACTTGTGTTTTAGGCTGCTGTGAGTAATTGGGTCAGACCGCAGACCAGCAAAGGTTATACAGACTTTCTCTTGGATACATTATGTCATCTCAGTTCTTAGTCCCATTGCAGACTTGGACACATTTTTTTTGTAGTTCCCAAAAGCGTCTGTTTGTTCAGCATGGATACCACTGTATAAATAAGAAGAAAATTCCGGAGACCCAAAATAAAATTATTTCTAGCTTATTCAAGGCAGCACAACTTCAAGAACAAAATGTTCTCTGTATAGTCAATATGGACATGAATTATTCCTCTTCATAAAAGCTTAAACGCAGAGTAATCTGAATCGTCCCACTTAATTAAAGAATCTGCGTCTAATGGATATCTCCAGCTTCTGTGGTGTTTTTTGACCCCCAACTCTACTGCCTGGGTTGGAGCCCATGCTTGTTGTGTTGCCAGTGGAGTCCCAAAGGATAAGCCAGGATAGTCACAACTGAGATCCAGTCTTTCTCCAAAACCCTCATACAACATAACTAACTCATCCAAGTTATATGCCTAAAATGAGCCTGCCTAGCTTCCTCCTGATGTGGATAGTGCTATACACAAAAGGCTGGTGAAATGTTTTCAGCTGATGAACTTCAAGTCTTCTAATAACAGTAATGATGCTCAGTGATGAAAGTAGATTAACTATTAAAAATCTATGTGTTGCAGAACGGAGTCAAAAGTCTGGTCACCACTTGTAAATGAGGAGGGAAAGACGCATCCTTATAAGATGAATCTGGCCTCTCAGCCACAGGTAGGTAATGGAGTATCTGCATGCACTTGTTCCCACTTACTCCTGTCTGACTTCAGAGTGGCCTGATCCTCCAAGGAGTTGCGCATGTGTCACTCCATTGGTTGCACTGGGGATAGCGTGTGCCCCACATCTCCTAGAAATCACGCGGTCCTTGGAAACCTCCAGAGACAGACTCCCTCCCTCCTGGTCAGAAGCCTGTTGCCCTGGAGAGCTAATCGGATACCTTGCCAAGGGTAAGCTGCTTGGATCAGAGATGTTGTCTCCTGCCATCTGTATGCTCATGCCTACCATAGGGCCCAGAAGGCACTGTAGAGGTGTGGCTTCATAAACTATTGCTACCATTGCTAAGCCTGTTGATTTTCGTAGATAAGAACGATCTTGAGAAGGGAGGAAAATTATTCATTCTGAGTGTTTTCTGTTGGGGGGGGTTTTGTTGTTTCCCTTTTAATAGCAAGTTCTTACTAGCAGTCTAGCTGTGAAGAAGTAGAAGAGAAACACACCAGCCTTTTATGTTTTTATCTATGGGACAGATCTTGCAGCCTCTATCTAGGAGGTTGGTTTTGTAACCTTTTGGCAGCCTTGCTTCACTGGTCTGCTGCCTCTGTCAAGTAAATGTAGTAATAATGGTGACCTGTGCAAGGGCATTGCCTGGGCTAGGCTTAGAGGATTGCACTGCACAAATTTAGAATAACTGCATGAAAATCAAAGGCATTTATCCAGATTTTCACCAGGGTAGTGACATGGATTTTGGCCTCAGCACACATCCCATCCCGTATGTCTTTCTAGCAAAATAAGTAGAGATAAAACTAGTTTGACTCTGCAATTAATTAAGTGCTAATATGTCTGTTTGGGTTGGAAAGGACCTGAACCTCAAGTAGCACATGTGCAGCAACACCCTGCCCAGACCTTCGCCTGGGACCTGTCCATGCTCCCTCTCGCGCCAAGATGCTGTGTGTTGCTTGGCTTGAGAGCGTGGTGCAGCATTCTCCAGGTATTTCATAACTCGGCCAAGGCACAGCGTGAGGCTGAGGCATTTGGACTTAAGTTGGGCTGGGGCTGTGCAATGACACCATCGAGCTGTGTCTGCTGCTGCCCAAGCTCTGCTGCTCTGCGCTGCTGCAAACCTTGCGACTTGGGGCTATCTCTTGCCAAGGGAGTGGGGCAGAGTCTGCTCTGAGGCTTTGCTGCAAGGCTGCAGAGGGCTGTTGTTTAATTCGGCAGGAGACCTGGTCCTGGCATCCAAGTGGCTCACGCAGCCATTAACTAGAATTTAGCTAAATGCCCCAGAATTAAATATAGGCCACTACAGATGCCAGGCAGGAGTTTAACATAGCTCACTAAGCTTAGTTAACCACAGCAAGAAACCTATGGCTGCAGCCCCCCTGTCACTAGCTGCACCACCACACTTTTCCCCCCAGTCCAGCCTGGGTCACTGAATAGATATCCACTGCTGGTCAAGTACTAAACATAGGCTATCTTAATTAACTGATGCCACCTCTTTCTTAAACTCTGGCAGTTTTAACCCTAATCAGCTGTTCTCTTGCGGAGTGTTTGCATGTAAATCACCCCTAGACTGTTTTAAGGAGTCTCCTGCAACTCTGGGTGAGACATGGGTGAGAGGAACTAATCTTAAATCTAGTCTTTGACTTAAAAGTCATGTCCTGCTTTCTAAAATCCAGGTGAAGGGCATCACGAAGGTCAGACTGTACAGGATTCAGCAATAACTCTGGTGATGGAGCACATCCCCTCCTAAACCCTAACCTCAGTCTTAGTTCTAGCCATTCTATCCTGATGCTGCCAGTTTGTAAGTGTGGTACAGCTGAATTTGTTGATACCAACCTGTAACTGACTTCAGCAAAAAAAAGTGAGAAACTGACTGTGGAGAGATTCCTCTTACAAACCTTATCTCTGAGCAGTGACCCTTGCCTTAATCTTGTTACTAGGGAACAACTGTTAGGCTTTGACCCCTTGTGATGGCTGATACTAGAAGAGTTTCACACCTGGTGTGAAAGGAACATTCAAGCTCTCACATAAATCTTACCTTAATGAAGCAAATTAAGTCATATGCAGTGGCCTATGTGAGTGGTGGTTGCTGTTTTTCAGAGCATGGAGCTTTCCTTTAAAGGGCTTTGCCTGCTGCATATTCAAACAGGAATTTAGCAGTGTGAGGGAAGATGTCAAATGTCTCCAAACCACAGGCTCCCATTTACCTTTCCTGCCTAACAGTGCCTGAAGATCCTTGTCCGCTGTGTCAAGGAAAAGTGTTGTGAACACCGTCAAGTTTTAAGTTTGAGGTTGGTTGGTTGGTTTTTAAAATACATGCCCCTTTCCTTTTTCAGTAGCTGACTGCAGTAAGTGAGGTTTGTGGGGAGCTCTGTGTGCCTGCAGCGGGACGTCAGGGGAGGACGCTGACTCCTGCCAGGGCTGTGGCGAGCATTGGCCAAGTCACTCAGGGGCTGCATCTCTGCAGCATCACCAGAGCTTTCAGCCAGGCCTGCTGCAATCAGCAGCAGCAGAGTGCAGAAGATGCTGTGCATATATATATACTAGTATGGCAAACTGCTATGGATGTTGCCACAAAGATGCTGATCTCATTTTTCCGACAGGATTGTTAGAAGTTGTGAGTAGAGCCCAATCTTCGAAGGCAGCGCTGTCTGAGAGGTGCAGTTGTTTTTTTTAACTGGCTCGCCAGTGAAAACAATATCTTTGCTTTGCTTGGCAACAGTCTCACACAGAACACTTATTAATTCACTTACCAAAGAAAACAGGACATACTGAGTCCAAGTGATTCATTTAAGTCATAATCCAGGGTCCTCTGAAGATGTTTCTCACTGGTTTTGCGCACAGACCTTTGGATGCAGAAATATAATCATACATGTGAATAGATGTACTTCAGGCTCAAAAAAAAAAAGCTTTTATACCTTTGCTGTAGAAATTGGACTGCAATTATTCAAATAAGTTTTCACCTTTCTTAAAATTAGGTAGCTTGATGCTGCCTCTCCCACCTTCAGTACCTTAACTGAAATTTCTTGTTGCACTTTTCCTCTTTCTTTTCCTCTTCCTGTTTTATCGGTGAAGTTAAATAACTAGATCTTTGCAAAAGGTCTTGTGAGAGACGTTAACTCTCAGTTTGTCTCAAGAACTGTATGGCTAGCTTTCAGATTACTGCTTACACGATTTTTACCCCATTTGAAGTAGACTTTTTGTTTACTTCTGTAATCCTTATGGGTGCTGATACTTTGTAAAATGCTGCATCCGCCCGTGGAAGTATTTTCCTTTACTTGGAATGTGAGTTCAAAATATTTTTATGTGCCTTTGGAAAATAAAAAGGCATTCCACAACCTCCCATGCATTCCCTGAAGTTCTGTATCCCAAGACTGACTTCACTGTCTAAGCTGACCTTTGCCCATGAAAAAGCTACAGCCTTACTATTATTTCATTACCATTATCTTTATACTTCTAAATTAATTTAAACTGAGGCAAGAGTGATGACAAAATCACATTTCATCAAAAAGGTGCAGCAACTTGTCGATGGTGATGGCTCAGTGGCTGAGCCAGCTTTGTTTTGAGTGCAGCCATGGCAACGTTAAGGGAAAAGGAAATGACAGAGTCTTCTTAGTACATTTACTCAATTATTTCATTTGCACTTCTCACCCAGATCCTGAGGGCGATCACTCAGTGTAATTTTCCCATCAAGAGCTTTTCCTCACCGCAGTGAGAAAGATTAAAATAACACGTCTGCCTCTCCCTTCTGCTTAACGTTTCTTGAGAAAAGTGATCACAGCAAGAGAGAACAATTTACTCGGTGACTAAGGTTATTTTAATGCTTGTGACGCTGACCAGAGACCAGCATAACTTTCAGACTCAGCCGTGCTCTCTGATGACCTTGGACCAAGCATTAAGCTCTAGACCCACGCGCTAGTGCGTGTGGCTGTATTGCCCCTCGGTAAAATGAACAATAAACCTCTTCGTCCCTCAGACCGTGCCGTGTCTTGTCAGACATGGGCTCTGTGGGAGAAGGTTTGTCTTTTCCCCTCCCTTCCCGTCATGTTTGTAGGACATTGAGGTCAATGGGGCCTAGGTCTCTGAGCTGAGTGAGCTCATGTAGGGAATGAGCTGAGAGATGAGCTTTGAGGGCGGTCAGCACCAGGACTGTCTCCAAAAAAGCTTGTCCAGCTCCCTGAAGGCCACATACCCCATTTGCAATGAGGCACAAGTATTGACATCAGCCCTCAAGAATGTCAGTAAAAGTGTCAGTTGGTTTGAGATGGGTAGATCAGCTCTTCTTAACCACAGAAGATAAGGGTTTTCAAACGTGAGGATGTTTTTTGTGGTGGCTTTTTTTTTGTTTTTAAAAGAGAAATAACCTCCAGACGTGCAGCCAGAGGAGCTCTGGAGATGAATCGGGCTGTCTGTGGACTGACAGTGACAGACAGCCACTTCTGTCTTCCCAAGGCCTCTTGAGAGTGCCTGTCCCATCCTCATCCTCGCAGAGTGATGTCATTGTTTCCGTCTTGTGTATTTTATCTCCTTGGATACAGAGAGGGCAAGGGCTATAGAAACTGGGTGTGTGGCTGGCTTGGCCTTTGATAAGGCCATGCATGTGTGTAGGCAATGCATGAAGCAATAGGTATATAAAGTAACAACATCGCGCTTCAGACGAGGGAACTGCGCTGGCGTATCACGACCTGCTGGTTTTGGTTAAAAGGCGTTACCACATGGATGTGGAATGTGTCGAGGATGTAGAAGGAGAGGATGTGGGAAGCCAGCCTTGTTGTTTTACCCCCCTACAATAACAAAACCCCAAACCATTCCTAATTTCTAATTGGATTTCAAAGCATTGCAAAAGATCTTTCCATAGCTGAAAAACCCGAAACAATAACAGAGGGAGAGGTGAAAGTAAAGGCACTTCTTAATACTTGTGATCACAGCTGATGAAACATAGCATGGGGTAGAGTTTGCCACGAAGACATCCTCTTCTGAGCTGTCGCTGCACATTT